AAAAATACATATTACAAACACAGGAAAAGTATCTTTCTTTTGCACAACTTACAGCTGAATTGGAGTTGACTCAAAATGTTCAACCCAAAAGTTTACCTCTGAGCTGAGCTACAGCATAGGAAGTTTCAGAACAAAAGCAAAATTTGCAAGAAAGCTGACACAAGTCAAGTTGAAACCTTAACTTTAGTGTTTGTTACCATGGAAATAATTTTAGTAGAATGGTTTCTAGATATCAATGGTCTTGGAGACTTTTCAGGAGACATCTCAGGCTTGCTAGCTAAGGCATGAACACAAAATAATACTCAAGATCTTTAGATGAGGTATAACATCACAATATTACTTCATTCATTAAAACTATGAAACATGAAACAATAGCTATGAAACATGGAGACCGAGTTCACCACAAGTATTGCCTCCCACATTCCCTTCCTCCCCCCAGTATGAATAAAACTGAGCTCTTTTGCTTCACTAAAGAGGTAAGAGGATACCTCAAGCCAGAAAGACCCAGCACTGCACCTCTAAAGATAATTTCTGACTTAACGTATATTTGTGTGTTCTGTGAACTCTAGACATTCTCTGCCATAAAGATGCACCACTGTATACTACAGCTTGATCATTCATGACTGAATGATTAAGCTCAAAAGAACAGATATGCTTACAAAACTATTTGTATTCTGTAGAAAAAAGGTTGCTTACATGCAACCTCACCTAAGGCTGAAGATACAAAAACCATAATTGAAAGAGGCAATGGAATCTATTAGAAATTTCATGATACTTGCATAGAAAGTCAGGAGGTAATAAAGTTACCAGCTAACTTGATGGTTGTGTTTAGTCTATATCACAAGTAGGTGTCTCCAGGATGAATTTCAATCTCATTACAATTCATAAAGATACTATCAAAACACAACTAAAATTAAACTGCACTAATCCTTTAATCCTGTACCTCTGTTTTCATAGATTATAAAACTAAGGGACCATTCTGTTTACCTGGTCCAATCTCCTGCAAAATATCCTCCAGTAATTTGTTTTCTCTACTAATATCAATCTTCAAGGTATTAAATCTTCCAGGGCTGATTTTCAATGCAAGTATAGTACTCATGATTATTAACAAGAATGCTTTATAAATTCTGTTTTAAATTCTAGATTAAGGATTAGCAACAGGTGGATTAAAGTGAGTGGAGCAAAATCAACCCAGAATGTAAGTAGCTTTTCAGAAATCTGGACTACAGAGATGAGTCAGGCAGCTGTAAGAGAGCACTGTATTAGTGCATTAAAACCTGTCTTTAGTGACTACGGAGAGTGAACTGCAGGAGACTGAAGCAGATGCGTAATTTCAGTATAACTAGTTATATAATGTGTACCTATTTTTTCTTATATATTATAGAATTAACTGGTGTGTATTTTTACATGTATCAAAGTGCTTTATGATAAATCAAACCAAGATAAAATAACTTACAATTATAGTATTAAGATTTTTAGATTTAAAACTACATATATCTATTGCACAAAACACCAAGTACACCCACCAAACAGCAGCTCAGTGGGTAAAAAAAGGAAAAACAGAAACCAAGTTATTATAAAAGAGGAGCATAAGAAGCCAGATCTTATTACAAATTGAAGTGCAAAGATTATCAGTAAGATTTTAAATCTAATTTTCCACTTCACCAGCGCAGGTGTTTCTCCTATCAGGATATATATTTTGCAACTTCTCCAGAATCGTATTGCTCATTTAAACATTACCGAGAGAGAAGCTCAAAGGATGGCCAACGACAGGGCTGTTACAGTAAAGGGTATCGTGAATTAACAATACATTAGTTACATAAGGTGTCAAATATACAATTCTAAAATGTTTAAATAATTACATTTCAATTCATGGGAAACCGTATTCTATATGTTAATAATTAAGTTACTATCCTGCAGTACAGGGACAACAAGGGCCCCTATATTTAATCAGAAAAGCAGGAGAAAGATTTAGCAAAACAAACATCACTGTAAATATTCTAGACCAGAAAAATTTAGTTTCTTTTTTTGGTAACAAAGTATTATCAAAACAAATATATTCATTTGTACATATTCAAAGACTACTAAAAAATCTGGTGACTATAGCTTTATTATGTGGCAGAAAGCTCGATAAAGAATACAAACTGCGCGCAGGGTTACTGGTTTTTAAAAACAATGTTTAAACTGAGAGAATTATAAACATATTATATGATTAATTTTGGAACAGAAAGTGAAAGATAAGAGTCAACAAGCTAAAACAAAACCAAAAATTGCATCCCAAGGAACATTTGCAATTTCAAAATAAATTTGAAGGGAAAGAAGGCTCACATACCACACACACATTGCACTATACCTAGAGGCAGAGTGCTGCCCAATGGCTCTAATGATAGCACTAAATCACTTAATGCCAACATTTTCAAAAACATCTGATTTCCAGTAGCCAACATGGGACACCCTGGCCACGATTTTCAGAGATGCTGGGCACCTATTGGGGCACCAATTCAAGTTAAAGAGCTGGGGGGGGGGGGGTTGTGGGGGCACCTCAGCACCTGTGATAATCAAGTCCAAAATGGACACCCAAAAACAGAGGCAACCAAAATTAAGAGGCCAGTTTTGAACACACTGGCCCTGTCATCCCAAGACTGTCAAGATGGAATCAGACTAGGAGATATGGATATGTTTTGGGAAGAGCAGTTTTACAGTCAGTTGTTATAGTTTTATGGAACAGAGAACATTAGAGAAAAAAGCTCAGTCACGTTTAGCACTCCACCAAGGAAGTGCAGTTATGGTACACAGTGGAGTACACTGGAGGCACTAATGTGACTTATGTTGCAAAGTTGAGCAAACTGTCATCTTACAGATTTCCATACCATACACCACATAAAACTTATAAAGAACTAAGGTTTTAATTAGCTCTGCCTAATGACAGCTTACTCAAAATACAAAAACTATAAAGCAATTCATTCTTAAGGATAAAGTGCTCTATGGCAGAAGAACAGAAGAGGTCTGCTCCCTCAGCCAATCACAATCCAAGAGGTCAATTACAGGACAATGAGCAAGTGAAGCTCAATTTCACTCAGATCCACCCAATCAAATGAATCAGGTTCCACTGCCTCATTCTCAGGAAGATTATGAAAAACATTTAACTTAGAAATGATTTTGTCTGGATCATGCACACTTGCCATGGAAAAAAGACAGATGAGAACATATGTTCTGTTTTTACCATATTGTGGCATCTTAGGGTTTGTCTACACACAGATTTTGCACTGATTTAACTATAGTAGTACAGCCAAATAGTAGTACAGCCAAATAGTAGTACAAAAACTTCATAAACCAGGCCAAGATATCCATAACTGTGCTTTTGCAGACAAATGCATCACACTGGGAATAAATTTCTGGGGCAAAGAGGAACAATACTTTTTTCATTCCCGTGTCTCAGACCTGAATGAGCAAAGAGTCATGCAAGAAAGACCAGAGAACTTGATTTCTAAACAAGTTTTTCACAGAAGCTTTGGCAGGCCTAAGTCTGCATTAGTCAAATAAAGCCACTGAAATACAACAATTATACAACAACAGTCTATGGCTTGAGTGTAAATGTGGCAGCTCTGCCTCAAGACTTATCTAGTAGCAAGAGACCATTTTCTTCTAACATTCTCGTCCGCTAACACACACTATGAGGACAGCACTCATGAACACTGAACGTTATATTTTGACCAGTATTAAATATAATTTCCTCTAAAGAACTATCGTCAGGAGTTCCTTTCAAAAAACTGAATTTAACTTAAAAATATGCTTGACAATATAATGCAACCTAAATGTGTTATATTTAACTACAGTTTAGTGCAGATTTCCCCCCCACCCAAGAAAATACAGGCTTAAAATCAGAGTGTTTGTAGGAAGTGTCATCAGTAAGCATCCAAAGCAACTCCTATAAATACTAATCTCTGCTGATTTGGGGGAGGGTCAGAAAAGCAGAGGCGAGTATTTAGCATACATGTGGGGCTTGTTTTGAAGTTTTAGAGCAGTATGCATTCAGCACCTGTGCTCTTAGGCCTCTCCAAACCCAATGGCAGGCCTGAAAATGTATTACTTCAGTCACAGAATTTCTTAAATTACAAGTGCATTTTTATTTATTTTTACTCCTGTTTGCACTTCAGAGTCAATCCAGCTATAGAAGTGGAAGCAGGACTCTTTTCTACCTCATACATCTTCATCAGACATAGTTAACTACGTTAAAGTTGCAGAAACTTTATTACTGGTGATTTATGTGCCAGAAAGAACCCAGCTTAACTTTCAGAACCCACACAGAGCTGGCAGTTCGAGAAAGAATAACTCGAATTCTTAGCTACACAGCTTTGCTCACTTTGACACACATGAATGCCACTTTAGTTTCTTAAAGTGTGGTTCTTCTTCTATTTCAGAAGTGCAAAACACCCTCAGCTTAACATGCCTAAATCACAAATTCTGAGGGCGTATCAGCTGAGAATAGAAAAGCTATACAAAGTCATTACTGCTCACTAAATTCATCCTACTTTTCCTGAAGAGAATTGTTTCATGCCATTGTTTTTATTTTTTATACATAAACCCACATTTCCTCAGCTGTTGTTCAGCAAAATGCCCTGGTGCAGAAGTGTTCCTGGTGAGAACACTTACACTCCCCAAGAGCAAACTGAAAAGAGAAGGGGTCTTTTTAAAAATATGTAATTATATCACTGGCCAGATAGAAAGTATCTGGGCATATGTTACAGGTTGGCTCTCCCACAGCAAGGAAGAAAAGCAATAAAATCTTGTAATCTTGGGAAGTGCAAGATGCCATACCCCCATTTCCAAGTTTCATATGTCGGGTCCAATACAGGCAACTGCAACATGCAGGATCTACACTGTGTGTACTGTTTTAATTACAAAGACAAAAAAATTAAAGACCAAGCCAGTACTGAAAACATATTTATTTATACAGAAGACAGGTATAGGACTGAGTCTTTAAATAAGCTGCATCTAACCTGTTTCTGAATCTTCACTGTCGGAGGAGCTGGATTCACTGGTGCTCTCAGACTCTGAGGAGGAGAACCCCTTCATTTTAGAGGAACCAGCAATTACATCCACTTTCTCTGCTGCAACAAGATAATAGTACAATATTGTCAAAGGATGACAAAAATAACCCAGAATCCAGTCTTGTGCTGTATGGTCCTCCTGTAATCAACAACGCCCGTAATAGGAATTCTATTGCATGGAGGGCTGCTTGTATGCTGATGCTCTATAGTTGGGGTCATAAGTAGCTTAACTAAGTAAAGTACGATTGCAAACTCACTGCCCTGTTCCCATGTTCCTTCCTAGTCCTGAACTTTACAAACTAGGGCAGAAATGAAGAGTTTGCCCTACTGTTCCCAATTCCCTAATGAGGTAACAAATACAACTTTTGCCTAAATAACCCATAAACATGCATGTATCAGATTCTTGCAGAAGGAAAGTGTGCTAGAAATGTTCACACACATATTATTTACTGACTAGATTATACTGGCCCATAATTAATGCATAGTATTTTTTTTAAATAATGCTATTGACCCAATGAATTATAATGGGTCCAAAACTGCATATATTCAATCCTGCACATGACCCAATCCTTCTGCAATCTGTGTTAGAGAAGGCTTTTCATGCATATGCAGCATTTGACATTTACACTTCAAGTTCTAGGCTATTTTTCTTTCCAAAACACCAAATAAGCTTACAAGTGATGCTTAGGCCAGCAGCACATAGGGCAATTTCACATCTTCTTATGGCTTGCTGAATTCCAAACGTAAAGGTTTTATTTGGATATATCAGTACAAAGAAAAGCATGGGAATGGGTTATTGGAGAATTCTGCAAACTCCCCTCTACGTGCACAGTCACTTTTGATTCTGTAAGAGGCTTTATTCAACTTTAAAATGCTTTTCTAAGCATTAACCATATATTAAAAAATAAAACAAAATCCGAAAACAGCTCCAAAATCTGGTGGAAAGAATCCAGGATGGCAGCCCCAGTGTAGTGAGTCTCATGCCTGGGACAATCCCAAATCCAGGCCTATACATGTGCCAACTGTTTCACAGGATGGCGCCCCAGTTTGGCATGAGAGCATTCTTTCAGTGAGAAGAGGTGCTTTGGGGCTTTTTTGGCACACTGAAGGTGAGTTTGCAGCCCAGAGCAAATACTGTTGTACAATAAAAGAAAACTAAATGGTTTTACAAGGAAAGTTTGCATGAGATTGAAACAGCATGTAATATTCCATTTAGCCGGCAGTATGATGTGTCACTTGTATCAAGTGTTTGGAGTGAAGAAAATATTTACATTAGAGATCAAAGTACAGGGATATTAAGATAAAGTGAGCCCTAAATCACAAGCCATTGAGTTAAAGTCCAGTGGTAAGATTTAACACACATGCTGTTGTGCCATTAATCTATCTTTTGATAGAAAAGTAGTAGTTTTGAAATGAGTTCTTCTCTTCCCTGGCATGAGGATATAAATACCTATATACACAGTATGTGCATCATCTCTCTCTATATGTGTGTGTCTGTGTGTGTGTGTGCGCGCGCCTCTCTCTCTCTCACACAAGATTTGCACTACATCGCTGGAATGTGAAGTAAACTGCTTTGAGGATGAAAGGTACCTTGAGGTTTCCTCTTCTTCCGTAAACATGATGTTACATATCTCTCCAACTCCCGCAATGTGGATGGCTTTAATGTCTCAAAGTCAATTTCAATCTCATCAGGATTGGAGTTTTTAAGCGAGGGTTCTCTTGACTGGATGATATGGACAACTCGGCCCAGTTTCTCACCAGGGAGTTTATTAATGTCCAGGCTCAGCTGCCTCTTTTCCTCATAGGACATTGGCTTACACTTGTCCTCCTCCTCAGACTCGTAGACAGGAGGGGGTTTGCTGTTCTTCACCGTCACAGGCTCCTTCTTACTACTTAGGAATAATTATAAAACATTATTATAGAAACAACAAATTCGTGAGGCATTTAAAAAGCAGCAGCTTGATATTAATGTCTTAAATGTAACATTGATTACATTACACTCTAATTAAAAATGATCAAAGTTGTTTATTTTCAGGAGGCTATTAAGAATACAATTGGAATGGGTGGGTAAGAGGGCAGAGAGACCAGAACGTGACAGATAGGCACTCCTTGGTGACATTCATTTTCAGCATTAAATATATGGATCCCTCTTACGATTTCTGACTTCCTGATCTATATGTGCGTGTGGGAGAGGAGGGGAAGCAAGAAGCAGCAGGCATAAAAAACAAAAACAAAAAACTGTCCTCAGAATAAATAACTATCTGTTAGAGACTTCATATACTAGGGTTGTGGTTTTATTCTGAGAATACAGAAATTAGACCATCACTGATTTTGAGAAACTTTAGGTTTGTAGTTATAAAAAGGATGTGTATCTAACTGAAGAGGTCACACTTCAGCCAGATTCATAGCACCTCAGCGTTAACACAGAATGCACAGCCTATGTAGCAAAAGGATTACCAATGAAATTAGAGAAGTAAGAGATCTATTAGGCCACAGTCAGTTCAGTTCCCTGGGAAGAATTTACAATTGAGCTCTGCAGTACATTGTCTGGTATTTTATCCAGCCTCAATGCCCTAAATGGGGGGTGGGGGTAGGGGATGAGAAATGGGCTCATATCCCTTACTTTTGACAATTTTGCAGCCTAATCAAGCTCACTGCAAGCAGTTTCTACTTATATGCAAACTACATTTTCCCCTTTCTTCATTTCATCCCATTACCCGAAGTTATGATGCTTTGTTGCACTGTAAATAGTTCCTCCCCCTGGCTGGGGGTTATGCCCTTGAAATACTTGGATATTTTACCTCTGCTGAGTTGTCACTTACCCAACTGTAAATATCTAGCTCATAACCTTTTCCCTGATAAGCCAATCCCTCCAGCACCCAGGAGGGGAAGATAGATGAAATCTAAAAAACTCCAGGATCTGGGATTCAATGTCACAGTGACAATATACAGAGGAACAAAAATTAATTCTCTATCATATCTCATACTGGATACTAATGGCAGCCCCACAAGCCAGACACAGAAGCACAGGGGTGCATGAGTGAAAACAAGTACTGTCACACTGAGGCACAACTGATTGGGGGCTGCACCAACACGTGTTCCTGGAACTGATACTATCAATGCCAAGGCCCTTACAGAAGGGAGAAACCCCAGAGGGAGCCATCACTACACCACAGGCACTAGGGGTTACTGTTCGAAGTAATCCTGAATGCAAGAAGGTTGTCTCTAACTCTCTATTGTTCCTCAGTGCAGTAAAATACAAAAACTGCAAGATACGACAGACACAAAGCTGACCTTGAGTTACTGCTGTTGCTATTATTTTTCTTGGCCTTCTTGAGTGGTGGTTCCTTGGTTTTACTTTTCTTATTCTCCTCTACTTCTTCCTTCTTTTTGTGCTTCTCTTTTTTCTTTTCTTTCTTGTCTTTCTCCTTTTTCTTTGGTTTGCTCTGCTGTGGCTGGGACAGGGCAGCGAGCTGTTCATGCACTGCTTTAAGCTAAGAGGCAGACACACAAAGATCAAGATACTTTCGTTCTGCATCACCTCCACTCCCATATTCATTCCTTTCTTCTCCTTTCTGGCCTGGCTACTCTCACTTGCTTTCATCTCTTTGAATATTAAGTGGGTCAGTTCTAGATGCTTTTTATTGTACACTGATTATTTTTTCCATTATACTTTAAAGCACCCTGACCCGCTTGACAGGGGGTAGGAAGTTTTTATAAAGTTACTACTCTCCTCACCTTTCGGCCAAGAACAGACTGCCCACTTCCTCTGCGCCAGTTGGACACTAAATGCTATTGACAATGAATGATTTAATGGACGAGGAGGGCCTGTGAGGCTACAATGATTCAGATGGAGCACTGCCTGTATTCGGGGCTGCACCTCCCTATCAGAGGTGGTGGCTACAGGCCCCATTTTATAAGTTCACGTGCCACACTTTAGTCTTAAGTTGAGCCAGCCCAAAACTGTATTCTATCCATTCAAATGACGCTACCTAATTCAAGGCAATGTATAGTGTGCTGCTGTGATTTTTTTGAACATTATATGTGTACTAAATAGAACATAATCAAATGTTTTGAAAGACACCACAATATTTATTAATACTTTTCCCATTAAGCCCTTTCGACGACAGATGTCAGAGCACTTTACAATTGAGCTTCACAGCCCCTGGGAAGCTGGTAGCTCATTTTACAGATGGATAAACTAAGGCAAAGAGCTAGAGCAAATTGCCCAAGGTCACCCAAGTCAGTAGAAGAGTTGAGAATGCCTGACTCTTAGTTCCCCCTGCTCTAGCCCCTAGACCCGCAGAACACATTACCTGTTCCTGGAGTTCTGCTAGTCGCTGAGCTCGTTCTTCCTCAGAATCATCTGATGAGCTATCGCTATCGGAGGAGCTATCACTGCTGCTATCGCTGGACGAAGGGGGGGCCACCTTGGTTGGGGGTGGCACCACTACCGGAGAGGAGGCTGGAATCATGGGTTCTTCAGGTTCATCTGGCATTTTAGCAAAGCGCATCTCAAAAACATCCTGGGGGAGAAAAACACATTGAAAAATAATGCTAGGTTTGCAAGTACTATACAAATACACATTTACAAGCAGCTCGGCATGTAATAATGATTATTATTCAAGCAACATAAGCCCCTGACAAACACAGACAAGCCTTCCCTCCTTGAAGGAACGAAGGGAGGACAGACTAAGATCAATATATGTTCTGTACAGGCTTGGCAGAATTCAACTTCTGATATCAATGTTTATTTTTAAGCATTTTTTGTCCATTTAATTTTTCACAGTTGCAAAAAAATTACAAGTTTTAAACTTCTTTTTTCTACTTATCTATTTAAATGTCCACAGTCGCAGGGCAGCATGGGGTGGTCAGTCAATTATTTAATGACAGCAGATGTAGAGATTCAAAAAGTTAAAGCTTTACCACCATTAAAATACAAATTGCCAATATCACATATACAAACAAACAAAGTAAATATCCTTAAATCAAACAGTTCTCAAGCAGCATTTTTCTTGCTTTGCTTATCTGTAACTTTCTATTATCGCTCGAAATATTCAGTTTGTGTGTGTATAGTGAAATTGAGGTTTACTGACATTTACCGATAAAAATCTGATCCTTCAAAGTCTACTTATGTAACTAAATAAGGTAAGAGTGCTGAATTGATGATACTATCTACACAATAAATACTAAGGTGCAGGATGATCAAACCTACTAAAACAGCAGAACAGCTCTATGGATTAGCAAAAAAACGTTGATTGTCCAATTCAGGGCAGAAACTTCCTTACTTATTAAAAGACAAAGTTCAGAGGGCGCAAACAATTCCTCAAAATTACTTCTAAAGAATAGAATTCAATGTTTTAGCTTCCTTAATTAAAAATAACTTTGAGTCAGCTTAAAGCTTACCACGCTACTATACTACTTCTCTGTTCACTCCTTAACTGATATTTTAAACAAAATTAAAGTCAAAGGGTAAACGTGAGATTTGGAGGATATGGTAGACTGCAGTCCTAAAGAAAAATTACAACTATGCTTGCAGAGTCAAGACTTTAATACAAAACCCAGTACAGAGATATACTGAAATGTTGAAAAAAATCCCCTTACAGAATGGCTAATACTAAATCTGAACAACCAGATGACATGGTTCAATGTGGACACAGGTGCTGAACGGCTGCATTTTATCTCCATTGTTGTTTGGCATTGCAAAAGACTGGATAACAAAATGCATTAGCAACACAAACATCAGAACAGCATGGGCAGATGGAAAATGCCTAGAAGACCTAGACTTTGCTGATACTGCACTACTGAGTGAGGCCCATAAAAACTTATCAAGACAGACAACTTGGCAAAAATAACACGCTAAGCAAGTTATAAGGCTAAAATATCAAAAAAGTAAAACAGTTCATCCACCTGGGCAGCACCGTTAGCCAACAGAGACCTCAAGAAGGAAGTGACATCAAGAACAGAGCATACACTAAACTCAACCACCTATGGAAATCAAAAATATACAGTGCCAGAACAAAACAATTTTAAATTCAAAAGTAATCTCGGTGCTAACACATGGCTGCGAGAGCTGGAGAGCTACTAAAATGTTAGTCAGAAAACCAGACAGCTTCGAAAGTAAGTGCCTATGAAAGATTCTGGGCATTGGTTGGAAAAAATCCCCAGTGAAGAGATCTGAGAAATCACTAACCAGCAGCTCATTTCCACCAGAATCAGAAGGAAGCACGTGACATATCTGAAGCATGTACTGCAGATGCCAACATATACCCCCATGTGAAGCTGCCAAGTGGAAATGAAAGCACCCAAGAGAAATCTTAGGAACCCCCTTTAGTAGTGAGGGCAGAATAGTTGATCTCAACACCACAGAGCTAATGGGGAGCAGCAGCAAAGGACTGGTTTCTGCCTTCTGCACCAACATTGGCATGGAAAGGATGTAAAAAGACCTTTACCAATGCTACTTCTCGTACAGACTATCTGTAAAGATTTGTCCAGGGGGAGGTATTCCTCCACCCTGCTTTTATGGTTAAATAATTTTAGCTTCTCTGAAGTCTTATGGTGTTCTTTAAAACCCTGGCAGGCTCTCCACCTGCTCTACAGTACTGGGTTGCTTAGAGTATGGTTGGAAAGGCAACTATGTAAAAAGGGCATCTTCTTACTCGACAGGTCTCTTCCCTGTGCGTAATACGTAAGGTTAAGATTTTGTCACTTTTACTAAAAATAACAGTCAGGTTGTGGGCAATAAGCAAAAATTCACAGGAGCCATGACCTCTCTGTGACTTTTACTTAAAATAACGTGGGGGGGCGGGGGGGGGGGGAGGAAGAGAGGGAAGGGGAGGGGGGCAGCTGCTGGGGGTGGTATGACAACTGGAGCCCCATGGGGGACTGACAGCCCGAGCCCCATTGCCACAGGGATGGGGGGCACAGCCCTGGCTCCAGACACGAGTGTGTGGGGGCGGAGGAGATAGCCATGGCTCCAGCTGCAGGGGCGTGGTGCACAGCCCTGGGTGAATCATAGAATCATAGAATATCAGGGATGGAAGGGACCTCAGGAGGTCATCTAGTCCAACCCCTTGCTCAAGGCAGGACCAATTCCCAACTAAATCATCCCAGCCAACGCTTTGTCAAGCCTGACCTTAAAAACCTCTAAGAAAGGAGATTCCACCACCTCCCTAGGTAACCCATTCCAGTGCTTCACCACCCTCCTAGTGAACAGGGTGAAGTTAAAGAAGTCAAGAAGGCCTGGTAAAGTCACAGAATTCATGACTTCCATGACCTCTGACTAAATTGTATCCTCAGTAATATATATTGCATCCACTTTAGTGCCAAAATAAGATTTTAATATTGACATTAGTCTTGCAGAGCCAATGGGAGGGAGAAATGGATTTTACCCTGGGTCAGTCATTATCCTCTGAATTGTTAAACAAGTTCCGGTGCAGAATCTTTCTTGCTGACAAATTATATTCAGATATAACCCAAGTTGATTCTCAGATCCCAGATAGTAGGGCTGGCAATTAGAAACACCATCTTTTTACAGGTAAGGCAAATGAGAGAGACACACAACGCTATCTGAACTAAATTCTCAGAGCACATCCTAACTGCTCAGTCAGGTAAATAGTGCCTGGGATTTAGTTTTTAAATAAGGCAAATGTAAAAAAGCTCTTCATGGTACAGAGGAGTCCCAAACGCCAACATTTAGTTACTGTGACATGCCAAAGCACCATCCCCACCTAGAGCAAAGGCAGCTGGGGAAACAAGTTAGTCTAACAGCAGAAGAGTCCATTTTAAATATTCTCTAACCCATTTATCATTCAATATGTAAAAACTAAAGCATGACTCTTTAAAAGGTTTATATTTAAAAAATGTAAAAACATGTTTATGGTGAAAAGCCACATAAATGCTACCAATCATAATATTAAGTCTGTATTTGTCAGTTAAGCATGCACTGCTCAGTCATCTCTGCTCAGTCACATTTTTGCACGTTACAAGCAATCTGTGGCTTGTGCCTCAGAACAATTAAGGGGGTAATTCTGCCTGATTGATATGCAGTCATTTTGCTCACATATGGCCTACCTGACTTAGCTATTTAAACATACATTTAAAAGGAAATAACTAGGAGTGGGCCACATTACCATGACATCAAGGTTAAAGGCCCAAATCCAGGACTTTACTGTAAAAGTCTAGCTACCTTTCTGATATTTTACTTATAATTTCAGAATGCTGAATGCATTAGCTGCCTGGAGACAAACAACGAGGCTATTAGAAATATAAGGCTGTACCATTTAAATAATTTCCCCAAGATCTGCAATCTGACTGGAAACTGGACTTTAACCACAATACCCTTGAAGGAAACAATAGGGACAGGGGAGAAATAGTTAAAAATTGTATTATTTTTTGTTTGTTCGTTTTTAAGACAAGTGCTCTTTGCATGCTGAAATTTTCTGTGCCAAGTTATAGCCTGTACTAACACTTTATTCAGCACAGACAGTTTAAAACAAGAATTATGCAAATACCCTCTTAACAGTACCATGGCAGTGACTGCTGTCTGCCCTCCTTCTTTGCAAAGGTACAAGCTCCGTTTCCTAAAGACACTGATTACATCATAACCAGCTGGCTACAGAAAGCAAACACCACCTCAATTACATTTATCACTTGACCAAGCAACTTGCAATTATACTTTAGTGTGAACCAGGGTGCAGAGTCACCTTTAAGTGAAACACTGACTTAAATCAATGATATGGCAACTGTAAACGAGAACATTTAAGAGTCTGATATGAAAGCCTAAAAGTATTTTTCAACATCTGTCCATTTTGTTTGTTTGAATGTTTAACTGCAAAGTTTTTTTCCCTGTAAGATTCCAAAAGACGACATAACCAATGACATAGGATTTTAGCAACACTTGAAACACTCACCATTATCCTTAAGTGGTTGAAAAAACTGAACTTTAGAGACATTAATTTTTTCTCTCACAAACCTTACGCTGTCTCCCATTGTGAACTCTCTCACTCTAGCAGAGAGACCAAGATGACCACATCTCAGCTTTCTGACTCTTAAGAGGAACAGTTTTGTTTATATGTATTTTCAAGAGCCATAGCCCTTTTACTTTTAAAATCAGATAAACAAGTTTTTTACTTATCAAAACCTTTGTGATTCACATTTGAATCCCTTTCATAGAAAGAGTGCAGGGTTTTACAAATAAAATGTAACTTGTGAATAATTTAGATCTGAAGAAAATAAGGGACTTTGTTCATATAACTGCAGCTCTTCTCTTCAACTATATTTATATAGAGAAAGAGTAAATGTGGGTAAAACAAAAATACAATGGTTAGAAACGAAGTTTTGAAATGATAAATATGAAGAACAGCCCTAAGTAACTGCTGCTAAAAAAACAAAACAAAAAAAAGCGGTGGGGGGGGGAGGGAGAGGGAGCGCACAAGTTCTCATCTTTCTCCATGACACACTTCTGCTGTCAGGATTTTCAGTACCATCCCTCTATCAAGTTTTGAATGCATTTAAAAGAATGAGG